AACATTATACTGGGCAAGTAAAAATTGTTTCTGGGCAAATGAAATGTGAAAGTCACTTGCCCAAAGGGCAAGTGGTAAAAATCTTTAACGTCAACCCCTGTCCATCACACTGGCAGCAAACTCTTCATTAAATAATGTCGTTATTTTCAAACAGATAAAGTTTTCTGTTGAAGAGGAAGTGATTTTGAAACCATGACAAAACCTGCTGAGCTGTAACACCTAAAAAAAAGAAAAAAAAAAAACTCACTCCAGAGGTTATTATAGTTAAAAAAAACATTTTTTTGTTTTCTTGCTCTACAGGCTTTTTCAGCAACTGTTCCTTTTTTTCTTAAGACCTAAACTAACACACAAAAAACCGGTTATAAAAAGTAACAACCGAATATTCAGCATGAAGATGTCGTCGTGCTTCAAAACCTTGAACCTTTTATTTAACCAAATTCTTTTAAATTTCATAAAATGCCTTGACCTGAAAAATAAGTCTAAATGTTTTCATTTCTTCTGTATCTTCTTAGTGGTCGATAATGAGCTCTTAACACATTTGTTTGATGATTTTACAAATACATCACCAGTGAGAGAATAAATTAATGTTATCGCACTGTCATGGTGCTTAAAGTGAATCAACCAAGCAGGTTTTCCAGGAATGCAGACGTACACGTGTTACATTACTCATCTCGCCATTTTTCTGCTCGTCTTGCCTGCGACTTAAAGTTGTAAACAACACCAAACTACTTCTGTTTCTGCAGCGCTCCAAGTTGTGACCCGCTCCTAATATCTTGATTCCTTCACTCGAAAACAAAAGTTGACAGAAGTAAGAAAAATATAATGCAACAAACTTCTGTAAAATAAAGAGTTTAGGTCCCAGCTTAACCAGTCCAGTTTTTATTTTAGAGTTTGACAAACCTTGAATTATATGTTACTGTACCTTGAAATCCATGTTTTCTTAAATGTAAGTGAAAGTAGAGGGGACGTGGAAAATAAAATGAACAAACTTTTGGAGAGTTTCAACTTAAAAATAACTTTATCATTGGTCATCTACAATTTTACCAGAAGGAGAAAATACACCACATGTATTAGAGGGCAGCTAATCATGCTAATCATGCTAATCATGCGCGTGTCCTACAGATGGATTACATGAGAGATAGTTTTCTGTTTAGATCAGGGAAGATATTTAAACTGGGAGCAAAACAACTGTGTTCAGCCTGCGTATTTACTTTACCCTGTATTTAGATTAGGTTGAGGTTTTAATTTCAATTCAGTTCAGTTTATTTATATAGCGCCAATTCATAACACATGTCATCTCAAGGCACTTTACAGTTCTCCAGGATCATACAGTGAAATTGATTTAAAGTTTTCTATCTAAGAAAAACAAGTTGATTGCATCGACTCATTAACTCCAA